GAATGAACCACAACAACCAACCAACAACGAACAGCTCCAAACAATGACACCTGGTCTCTTTTAAATAGACCAAAAGTGGCTGGTGTAAAAAAAAAAACTTTGAAGTACAGTTGTTCCAAACACAAGGGAATCTCATGTATGAAGCATTGTTAAAAAATTTTTTGCCAGATAAACAAAACAATATTGGAGGTGAAATATAGTTAAAGATCATCTTGGTTAAGATGATAGCACATAATCCAAAGAAAAAGAACAACAATAAAAAAAAAGTATGCAATGAGCTGAGGCTAAATAAAGTCAGGTGGTTATTTTTGTTTATGTGTTTGTTTTTGCCATCTGGCTCTATGCTACTACTTGAGTTCATCAAGCCCTAGAGTACGGTAGTTTGTTTAGCTGACATTTTAATATACTGCACTCATAAACCTGAGCAGTAGGAGATATCAAAGCAATAAAAGTTTTGTTGGATACATGCCCTTCTGACATTAATATTTACCATGTTGTGTCCATCTTTTCTTTAGAGAAACTTCTCAAACGCTAGCATTAAAACGAAAATGCATAAGCTATCGTGTCCTTCCAGCCAGGAGCTCAACATATTTGACAAAGACGCTTAAAGCTATCAGCTACTGATTAATCTCGATGGGTCTAAATTTCTGGCTAGCTCTCAACCGGTTATGGAGCTGGATGCCCGGCATACTTAAAACCTCTTTTGCATCCACTTGACAGCTGCGAAGAGTAGGTGCCAAGTTTTCCTGTCAGCATGCTTCTCTCTGGTCTCTCCACATTTACACAAAAAATAGAGAACAAAGATTAACATGTTATAAAAACTAGATGAAAAAAAAATCAAACATGCATCATAAATGAAGGGCACTAAAAATGAATAAAGACTTATTGTTCTACTACATTGTTGTACTGATTTAATGCAGATCAACTGCAAATATAGAAATTTTCAGAAATCGGGTGGAAAAAAAAGACATTACGTAGTTGATACATTTAAAAAGGTTTCTGGCTCAGTAATCCACCGGATCGGTGGATTCAGTTTGAATAAATTTGCTTGTAGGCATGGACAAAATTTTGATTTCATTAGTGAGGGGGACACAAGTATTTTTTAATATAACTCTTTTGTATAAGTTCAGCGTGTTTTCTTGTATATCTGTTTGCTTCCTCCATTTTCTCTGTATGTTTCCTCCACTTTCTCTTGCATCTCTGCTATCCCTTTCCTCACAAAATATATCCATGTACCGGTAGATTTAAAACATGTAGTTTTACAATTATTATTAGATTGGATTTAAAAAAAACAAAATTAAGAAGGTTTTTTAGGAGGGGTGTTACGCAGTTTTTTGGCTGTTACTTACACTTTGACTTTTTAAGAAGTCTCTTATGTCTCTCTTTTTTTCAGACAGCCTGGCTGCAAATCTAGTCACCAAACACATGCACGCATATGAGACCAATTCATAGATTCATGTAAATCAATACATCTGATATTACAACCCTTCGAGATTATGTGACCCAATGAGAATAACAAATGCCCAACTTACAGTAGCAGATTCCCTCACCGTCTGTTGTCTTTTGCAGATCCATGTTCTTCTCTAAGACTATAACTCCTGGACCATTTGAGATATCTCAAAAATCCAAAACGTACCATAACGTAGATAAAAAGACTTTTGACCCTACAGTTCTAATTAGGGTAGCGCATAGGACTTTGGCAGTGCTGCAGCCATCCAATCACAAACCCGATTCATTAGCAAATCCGATTTATTGTAAAGTGAGCGTCTCAGGAGTGACAGCGGTGACAGGCAATCACACAAGAGAAGATGGTGAGCCAATCAGGAGCTTGTGTGTGGTCTAAACTCAGTGAAGCAGGCTTCAACTTCAGCTGCATTTTTCCCCTTCATTCAAGTGCTCGGCGTTTGTCTGTGTACTGTAGCGTAACATTGTCTTTGGACAGCAAAAAGTGCAGGGGACCAAAACTGACTTTTGGACGCCCCCCCTCAAAAAAAAAAGTCTGTGCTTGAATGAAATGGATTTTAGTGATACTACCAGGAATATATGCAAACACAAACTTTGCCCTTACTTAGACTCGGATCAATTGAGCCCTCTCAAAAACTCTTTTAATTAACCGTGAACAAAAGGATCCTCAATTTAGAGTTAGGGTTTGATAAATTAAACTGAATTTTCTCTAACATCGAGTCTGGCTCTTTCAAAACATCATCAGTACAGCATAGATGACCAAACAAGTCACAAAGAGAATATAACTTAACTTTTACTCAAACTCCACACTCTTTATTGTTTGCTGCTGTCACTCTTATAATATCTCCTTTTCAACTTAAATTTGAGCAAAAAAGAAAAAAATCACTTTGCCATTTTTTATATGCAGTTTTTTTATATCTTGATTTATATTTTTATATCTTTTTTTAGTTTAAATTAATCTGTTCCCATACAAAGGCAACACAAATTGTATTGCCAGCTCTGTGAATATTCTGTGGAGGTCTGTCCTTAGTGCACCTGTCTTGCAGTTCTGAAATGTGTGTGTGTGGAGGGGGGTGTGTGTGTGTGTGTGTGTGGGGTGTTTCTGAACAATATATATGCTGAATCAAAGCAGCTGCTTCACAAAAGCAAGCCTATTAAAACTGTTTTTGTGAAGTAGACCATAAAAAAAAAATATTTTCTCCTTTCAAAGACAGAACCAAATATTTGTTGTTATTTCCTTCACCAAAATATACATAACATTTTGCCAAAAGTGCACCTTATTCTGCAGTTCTTGGTAGGTTGTCCTTTTTCCTTCCAAATTAAGTATTTAGTATAAAAAAGACACTTTTCTCGATGGATTTAGTAATCATGTTTTTTTGTTGTTTTATTAACCAATGTATTTTCATTTCCAAAGGAAAATCACTGATGTTTTAAGTGATACATTTTAAGTTTATTCAGAAGAACGACTCATACTTCATAGAATCAACTTTTCCTTAAAATCCATTTCTTAGTTTAACACCATCATATTTGTAATACTTTCAGATTAACATCATCACAAATTAGACACTGATCCAATAAATGACAAAGTTTTAAGTTTTTCTTTTCTGTTGAATGTCCTTGTTAACCGGAGAGGATATGCTTTACAAAGGAAGTGTAGTTGATACACCCATTGGCATCCTCCTGTCCAGCCATCAGTCTGTCAACTTCATCTTCTGTCATTCTTTCTCCAAGTGTTGCCAGCACATGACGAAGCTCTGCTCCCATAATGGTGCCATTGCCCTCTTTGTCAAAAACCCTAAGCCCTTCCACAAAATCCTCAAAGTTGCCTTGATCTTTTGCACGGGAGATGTGTTGAAGCATTGGCAGGAAAGTCTCAAAGTCCAGCATCTTAATGTTCATGTCTTCCGGCCGTGGCTTTCCAAGGACTTTTAGTACATCTGAGTTAGTTGGGTTCTGGCCGAGAGCACGCATCACATCCCCACATTGAGCGTATGTGATCTTCATTTCTCCAGTTGGTGTGCGGTCAAACAGGGTAAAAGCCTCCTTGAACTCCTCGATCTGATCAGCCGAGAACTCAATAGCAACACTTTTTGGATCAAAGTCAGGCTCCTTGGGTGGTTCAGGTTGTGGCTCTGGAGGTGGAGCTGGTTTAGAAGCTGGAGCTGCATCTTTCTTTGGTTCTGGCTTCTTGGGCTCAGGTTTCTTTGGTTCGATCTTCTTGGGTGGCATGTTAGAAATATATTCAAAGGTGAGCTGGGGACTTTGAAAGAAATTAACCAGAGGGTGAGCAGAGTTGAAGTGACTCTCAACTACAGAGGGAACCTCCTCTTTCCATGTTTTTATATGTGCCTTGTCTGGGGAGCAGCATAGCAATTTGAAACAGCTCACTATAAAAGGAAGAAACCTAAAATAGCCATAAAGTGATGTCAACATTAAGTATTGTTCTCAGCTGCTGTCATCTAGCCGACAGGGCTATTTGCTGTCATTGTGGGGGGTACAGTTGCATTAGCTAGAAAAAGCTGGCCTTCTCTGATGGACAAAGGGATAAGAGGGAAGCCAGACATCATTCTAAAAGCATGAAATAGCTTTATAGTTAAATATAGAAAGGTTCTATGGTTTCTTAATGACTCCTAATGACACTGCAGCAGATAATGTTTAGTCTCATAATCATGTTTGTGAAAAATAATTTAAATGAATTATGTTTGTACGTATACAATAGTAAGGTAATATGCCTAGCATGCCTAGCATGGAAAAAGTGTCTCAGGGTTGGATACAAGGGCTTTCCCTAACAATATTTAAAAGAATTGCTATTAGTTGAATTAATTTAGTTGTTGAGATATGGATGTAGATAAATAAACAACAAAAACGGTCAAAATATATTTATTTTGGTAATATTATTAAACAAGAAAAACTCATACAATATAAATAAAATGCAGAGTGATTGATTTTAAGCCCTTTTGGTTAATTTGCATGATTATCGTTTTCAGCAAAAGCACACAACACTGTTTTTAAGACAGTTTTAAAATTTGCAAAAATATATCAAATACAGTTGTCTTATTCCTTATGTTAACGGACTTCCAAACATCATAAGTGTCATACCTCAGGTAAAGAGAAAATAGAAGTTCTCAATAAATGCGCTCAATGGGCCAAAAAAAATATTAATAATAATTTGTAGAATAAAAAAATAAATTTTATGGGAAAACAAGATCCAAGATTCTGTAAAAATAACTTGAACATATCACTTGGTTAGGGTCCAGTGTGACGTTTACATTTTTAGTGATATTTTAAAACCAAAAAAAAAAGAAGAAACATTTGGGCCTTGCTCTGATCAAACATTTTAAAGGCAGGCAAACACTGTATTGTATTTTCAACAGTTGTACACAGCAACAGCTAAATCTGTCCGATGAGTCCTCAGGGTTCAAAAGTTCACAGCTCCCAATGTACGTATGTTCTTACACTGTACGGCCCTTTACGGATGCCCTGATACAATCTAGATACTCACACTGTACGTCCAAAAACCACACGTAGGCCGAGAGATGGAAATCTGTCTGACTTGTCAATCTGTAAGAAGAAGAAGAACTCCTTTTCTTTGCACATGTGCACTGTATGAGGTTGTGGTGAATCAGCTCATAGAAGCTCATGGCCTGCTTCAACAGCAGGATTGGCTCACGAACACCTCACAAAGGCCGATTTCATTTCAAAGTTGCACAACTGGAGAAACGGCCCGAAAAGTGCAGAAACTCCTACAATGCATGCCTAGCCATAGAAAAATCAAATACAGTAAAGTATTGCAAAAAACAAACATATATAAAATCCCCTTTAAATCTCAAAACAGCCTTTCTAAAACTGTTTGCTGTAGAAAAAGTACAGAATGTTACAATTAATAATTTTTTTAGTTACCTCTAAAATTTCGTCACTTATTTAGTTCACTTTTATAATGCCCCCCTGCATTTACACTGAGTTCCACTTTTCTGCATGATACAGTCACAGTTTGAATCTGATAGATGAATTGTATGGAGGCTAAAGTTTTAAGTTATAGCAGCAAGACTTTAGCCAACTACAAGACACAGTTGACTGGTCAGAATATATAATTTATTTAAACATGCACTATTAATAGTGTTTGATAGACGATGGAGATATTTTTGTATACTAATAAAATATTTTTTAATGGTAAAAAGAAGACAAATTTTGACAAAGACTATCTAAAACTAAATAAAAACAAAAGAATAACTAAATGTTTCAAAATGTATAATACTTTTATTATAACCAAAATTTAGGATGAATTTGATTTTTTAAAATCCTTTTCTACCATTGTAAGGATGAAGTATTTTGGCCTTAAAACAATATAATTGATACAGTATTAGTAAAAATTACAGGACAGCAAAGGTAATCTGAGTAGTTTGAAAGTTTCCATTTACAAGTTGTTATGCCTCTTTTCTATACACCTTGAATAGTTTAGGTGTAGAGTGACAAACAAATTTTATTAAGTGTATAGTTTACTAAATATCACTTTATGTAAATGGCATTTTGGTAATGCCATTCAGTGAATGACAAATTAATCAACAAAATATTCATCTAATTTATGGAAGAGAGCCTTTCCAGGATGTGCAGATCTTTGACACAATTTTAATCATAGCAGCCTTAATTGTATGCATGCCTTGCAATTTATCAAATCATTTTTTAAAAGCTAAAATCAGTAATGCAATATTCAAATTCTCCCTCTTCTATCTTCATGCCAGTCCCGCTTGATCTGTCAATCCCAAGTCTAAAGTCCTTGGACCGGGTTGTTTTAGTGTGTGTGTGTGGGGGGGGAGGCGGGATCTATGCCTATATAACTGTCCTTAGTCTAAGATCATTATCTCCTCTCTCTTGGCTTTGGAGGTCACATGGAGAGCAAAAACTGACAGCTAATTTGTCGTCTTTTAGTGTGTATGTGCTTGTGTGTATGTCCAGCTTTTTACCCTGCTGGAAACAAAGTGGAAGACATGCAGCAGAGACCAAGTGGCATATCTGCTCTAAAACACTCTATATTTCACATCCATGTTTTTTTTTTTTTCCTTTCTTCATTGGCATTATGAAATAGGGGCAGAAGGAAAGAATGGATGACACAGTTCTGGATATTTTATATTTTCTCATGACACTTAGAAATAATGCAGGATCCTGAGGCAGGCAAGTGGGGTGGGATGATAAAGTTTAATCAACATCCTGAAGTGCTTTTCTAGGAGCCTATTGGAAATGTGTTTCTCTCTCTCTCTCATATAGATACACACACACACACACACACACACATATATATATATATATATATATATATATATATATATATATATATATAT